GGTAGTCCGGTCTGGTTTTATATTGTCATTACAATTTTTTAAATTGTTTTTTATTGTCTTTCTCTTATAATTTAAAAAAAAAAATAAAAATAGGGAAGTTTTTTTTCAAATAAAGAATAAAATTTACATATAGATAATTATTTGCCTAAATAAGAGATCAATACAAATTAATAGATTAAATTTCTGATGCATATCAGAAAAAAAAAAAAAAGAGGATGGTTCATTTGCTTTAAATTAGAAGAGAGGAAAGTTACTGACAAATTAAAAATTGGAATTGATGATTTCCTATTGTTCCTAAGGTATCAGAGCACAGGAAGAAATCAAACAATTTTTCCCAGACTTAAACATTTGAGAGACTGGAATTGCACTGCTGAAACATTTGCTGTTCAGCCCCACTGCTTCCGCTCTATAACGCAGTGAATGAGCCCACCATTAAATGTTTAAGACAGAAATACTTTATCGTTTTTTTTTTTTTCTTTTTTAACTAATCAGGATCATTCTCGTTGAAACCTCACATACCTCTCTAACAGTAAGTTCTGTTCAGATGTCTTGAGCTTCTGCCATCTCCTGCAGATTTTCTGCACGGCTTGAATGGTGGGCTGTATATTCAAACCATGTACAACAATATTTCTTACAGATGTCAAACATATGCAGTAGGAAAATGAACTGTACAGCAGGCTTAGTGACTGTGTAAAAGCGACTTTTATGTTAAAGGAATTCCCTTTTTACAGAGAATAGAAAGGGCTAGTAAAGGACTTGGAGCTACAGAAAAAGGTACCATTCCTTGCTGTCACATTTCTGCTGTGTTCAGGGATTGGGACTGTCTGTGCACAGCCTTTGAAAAGAATCATAACGGCATCAAACAATTACCTGATTCCATCAGCAACTTCTTATTACAGCAAAATACTCTTGCAAGGCTGGTTTTTGGTTAACCATTCAGGTCAAGTGCACAAGTAACACTTTTTTTAGGTCTTGTCTTATTAGATCCCAGACTGTGTTACCCAATTGCTCCCTTTGACCACAAGTAAGAGCTTTTTTCTTTCCCTCCTTTGGTGATAAATGGGCGTGATTACATTTCTTCACATTCACGTGAGATGAGAGTAAGACTGGAAGCAGTTGGCTGGGGAGGCAAGGCATGCTTTTACCTCTGATGGCTGCAAAGTTCATGGCCTCGTGTCCTTCTTAAGACATGGGAACAGTGACCTTGGCCGGGCACTCCCCTGAAGTCTCATGCTTGTTGGAACAACCTGTCAGAGCACAACTCCAAAAAAAAAGGACAACCAGGGCCATACAGGCTTTTGAGAGTGACTGCAGCAACCTTAAACCAAAACTTGCGGTTTAAGAGGTGGAGCGGAGCAGAGCAAATTAGCACGATGTGTTTCCACAAGTAGATAAAGGTATTGCTAATGTTTTTCCCCTAGGTTCTGAGTGAAGGTAGCTCGCTCTTTCTGTCTTTGAACCATGTGTGTGGTCCAGTTTTCCTGGCCATTCAGGCTAAACCTCAGTTTTCTACACACACCTTAGAATGAATTATGAATTATGTACCCCCCTTCATAAGGGTCTCTTCTTCTTGCGTGATTTTGGCCCTTCGTCACTTTGTAATAAAAAGAGGTCTGTATTCAGCCTTACAGTTTACTACTGTTTCCAAACTGTACACAACTTGCACACTATACAATGGAATTTCCTTGCAAATTCCTGGCCTATTAATTTTTTTTTTTAAATAATCAATTCAAAGAGAAACAGAAACATAATTTTTGCAATATAATATAATTTGTATGCATACGTGTATTACTTGACCCTACTGCATGTCTTTTGTGTGCTAACGTGAAGACTGTAGCTCAACCATGGTCTTATTCTTACAAGAGAGCAAACGAACAATTGAGTGCTACATAGTTGTGCATTTCTCTAATAAGTGACTGCCTACAGTATATGACTGACACCTATTTCATTCATACTGACTCATAATTAATATCCCACTGCCCGTTTGTACTGAAAGCTTGTCCGCTGAAGATTCATTTTAGAGGATTCCACCTGAACACGTGGCATTTGCCCTGACAGAGCGGGCAGGAAGGCAGAGCTGCTGGCATTGATGCTTCTGCCCCAAGCATCTCAGTTCTCATTCAGCCAAGGAACAGAAACAAAACCTTAATCGCAAGACCCTACAACACGATCACACCTAATCAAGATGACACAACTCCCAAGCACGGATTATGGAATACTTACAGAGAACTCTCAAGTCACTTCATAGCGATTACATGAGTTACGCAAATACAGGGGAAAATGAGAAATTTATCAACATGTTTGAAAAAAATGGAGCAGCTGTCGTGAGTGCAATGAAAAGGCCAGATCAAAGCAGCAGCTCGTGAGTCAGAGCTGGCTGCCAGGACTGTGTCAGCTGGCATATTACCTCCCCGAGCACCTCCACATGCCCAAACACTTACTCTGTAAACTGTCAGCCCACCTGTGTCGGAGGAGAACCCTGCTCTGATGGAGCTCCAGAGATCGGCTTACAGAGGTGCCCCAAAGCTGACATTTGGCTCACAGCACTGAAAAGGGTAAGCCAGCCTAGGCTGGATTTTTATAAATGACTGGCTTACTTTCTGCACCTCTTTGTCACCTCCAAATCAAGAATTACTGTAATCTTTAAAGATTATTTATTATTAGTGCAACCAGAACTCCTGTTTAGAGACCAAGGCCACCTGGCACTAACACAGAACAAAAGACAGTCCCGACTCCAAATGTTTACGAGCTAAGCATATTCCCTGGAAACAGTCTTCTAATTGAATTAATATCAACAAGCTGACTTGCCTTTCTCCATGTAAATTCCATGCTCCAAAAAGAAGAAAAAGGGACCCATAAATTATCTGTATTTTGCTGTCTGTCAGTGGTGGAATTCTGCAGCCAATGCAGCGGAGAGCAGAGTCAGACCTGCTGCAAAAGTGTTGTACTTACGGAGGAACTAGGAAATATTAAAAATGCACAACCTAGCCAACATTTTTTGCATATTTACGCTCTTCAGATCTTTATTTCTCTGAGGTGGCAAAGGACATATGGTGAATCAACATAAAATTTAGCTCTTTATGTGCAAACGATTCATTTTTTATTTCCTTTTGCCAATTTAGTTGGAGCAGCACGTTTTATATAGTCACAGCTGATAGCAAGTGAGTCAGTTTGGTCTGATGCTTGTAAATCTGTCAGAATCTCCCTAACAGTTATATATTTTACCCCAGCATTATCCTTGGACAAATAACGGTGAAACATTTTATTCTTCCCAGTCTCTTTTCCTCTCTCCTCTGACGCCATCCCCACTCTACCAGCCACTGCAGTCTACAGCGAGCTGCTCTTTCCTTCTCTTCTCTACTTAGTCCTGACATCCTCTTCTAGCAAGTCTTCTTTCTCAGTTTCTCTCTCTTGTGGGGTGCCCTTCTCACTCTCCTTAAAAGTGTGAGAGTTCTTAGACTGCAACTAAGTTGATAGAGATGCTTTCATTACTTGCTATCAATATGAAATATACCTTTGCTTTTTGGATTCTAATGAGATATGGGTAAATAAGGGTTTTGCATTATTTTATCTCAGGGCTCAGGCTTTTCTGAAGTTTTCATTTCCTAACAATTGTTCTTTCAATATGCTATAAACAGAAAGCTATTACTTTGGGACCGTGACATTATCTGTACATCAGTAGACTATATGACTCCAGCACCAAACAATGGAGACTATGGTGGTAGTGTTAAGTTAAAATAAGTTGCTAATAAGACTGTTAGCTTTCAAGTATATGTCTGGTTTTATATTTTTATCCTATTGTCCAATGGCTGATAGCACTGAAAAAACCCAGAGAAATATTCCACGCAATTGTATGAATTTATTTCCATGCTTCAGCTGGATATACTAACACCTCCCGTTGCAAACACTTCACATTCCACTTTTTCCAGAAATAATGCTTAGGCTTACGTACAGGTCTTAAATTTTATTGTAGATGAAGTTATAAAGCAAGATGGTTGTTCAAATGGAAAAACAATCCTAACTTTGAAGAGTTATCTCTGATTCTAAATAATATCATTATTAAGTTTCTGTGTTTTATCTGAAATTCAGCTGCATCTCAAGTTCTAAAGGTGAAAAATTGTCCCCACAGCCAAACGAATATTCGGTTATTTGTATTCTTCATACAGTAATTCAGTGACCATGACCAGGAAAGTGGTACTGAAAGGCTCCTCAGCTGTAGCTCTGGCCATGCAATTGGGTACAGATCAGATGTGCTCCACGGGATGCCCTCGGAAAGAACTGCGGCTGACCTAGCACACCTTCTCCATAGTCTACGTCAAGGTAACCAGAACTTTTACCATCCTAGCCAGGAAAATAAGCAATAGAATCAATACAGGAAAACTCTGTATTTTCTCAATATTAGATTAAAGGTATTTACCTACATTTTCAGTTTCCAACATGCCAATGTATACTGGCAACTGAAAACAGCATCGGAAGTTAACAGGGTGGAAGCTGAAAGTTATCTTTTGAACTGGAGGTCATTATCATGACAGAGAGAGAACTGATAGGCAACTACACCTAGTAAAAGCTCATGGTTTGAATATTTTGCTAAAATGCTCAGGTACAGAAACAGTTAATGCAAATGCAGCTGTCAAAATTAAGTTTCAGGTTTTAGCATTCTGCTGAGATGAAAGGTCCCTATTTTCACACCATCTGCAGACTCAGGAAGACAGCACAGCAACTCTCTACTGTCTGCCGGTGTTTTGACGGTTTCCCTCCCAAGAGCATGGAGATAACATCCAGCTCGCTGTAGCTGCATCACGAGTGACAACAGCACCATCTCTAAGCGTGGTTGAAATCTGTTGAATGTTCATCGGTGAAAAGCAGCCAGTGAGCGACTGTGACAGGTATCATGCTGGTAGGCAGAGAAAAATACCTGAGAAGTTTGCAACCATACCTCAGGCTCCTCTGATTAACATGCCGCTGTTAGCCGTCAGGCTGCAGCTGGCAATGCTCCTCACCTCCTTCTTGAAGCTGTACCAGGAATGGATTTAGAGCAGGGAGAAAGAGAGTGATAATTAAGGGAGCCTCAATTCCTTCATGAGCCTCCAGCCCTTCTATTATGGTGCTGGAGCTGCTTGCGATGCTGTAGCGGGAATGAATGCTACCTGCTACCATCTCTTTCTCTCCAAGAAAGACCATCTCTGCCCCATGTCCCTGTATGTGATGATGCTCGTGATAGGGCTGATGCTCTGCCACTGGGGAAAGCTCACAGCAGCCAGCATGGAGCTAAGTGTCAGGGCTCTGCTCCCTGGGGAGGAGAGGGAGAGACATATTGCTTGTGCTAGGTAGGTTACAGAGTGTGCGGACAGAAACAGTGGCCATGGTATAATAACCCAAATTGAGCAAAGGGGCTACAAACTGCAGGGGTTTTTCTTAAATGAGAGTTTAAAAGATGAAGCAAAGTTCTGCAGTATGATTGGATTCTGCAGTCAGAGTCCCTGACTACTTAGGAAATGCTTAATATAGTCCCCGCCTAACAAAACTCCTGAGTGAAAACAAAGATTGCTTGCCCACCTGTAACAAAAAATTTCTTCGATATGTACAATCCTCCTCTCAAGCAGAGGTACGTAAACTGCATCACTGCATGTGCAGGGAGGTTCCCAGCGAACGGCTTCATTTACAGGAGGCAAGTCCCTCTCTCCTGTCAGGCTGCGCACCAGTGACGAGGGCTCAGCCTTTGCTATGCAGCTGGCACGTGCTCAAACCTTTCTAACGAGGTTGGAGAGGCAGAGCAAATCTATGAAATAAAAAGTTATGCCCATTTTATCCCATAGCTTTTCAGAGTACCTTGCACTGTAATAGCAGCACCTGCATCCTGTGCTCACAATTTCTGATTTAAAGCTTCCTTGGCCAGAAGACTCGCTCCAACCCTAACCTTCTTTCTTTCTCCCCTCCAAGCCCTTTTTTCTCTCTCAGTCCAATTCAAGGACCCATCCCTCAATGTTTGTCATCAGGCTCCATCCTGTACCCCTCTGCGCCTTCAGGGTGTCTTCTTTTTTCTCTGTTCCAATAGCTCCAAGGTCATTCACTGCTCCTAAGGGAACCTGGCTTTTCTCTTCAATCCCCAGACATCAGACATCTCTGGACCCCTCTGTCTATTCCTCTGTCTGTCTTCCTTCATGGTTCTCTCTTTCAATTTGCAAAACCTTCACTCTATCAAGTTTTAAGCAACAATATTTCAAGGGAATGGACAGGAAATTCCCATGCCCATAATTAAATTTCACATGTAGGGCTGTGCGTGCCTTAGTGCCCACACTGACAAATACTTCTCATAATGAGCCACAGCTAGTACAAATCAAGTGACACAAAACCTGAAACGATTGGAAAGAAAAGAATGTGACTCAAATACGTAGGACCTTTCTTTTAGCACAGAGAGCTTTTCATTGTTAAAAATATGCTTGAATACAGCATTCAAAACCTGAACAAACTGATTAACCAGGGACCACGTCAGTAAAGGAGCGGCGGCGCTCTGTGTTATCATGTGAGAGGCCCCAGTTTGGGAATGACAGAGGCTGATGATAAATGGCCGCATCACGGCCACGATGCCACAAGTCTCTGTGGAACAATACTGGCTCCGCTGCCCTTACTTGACAGCTGCACTCAAATCTCTGCAAACAAGATTACTCCAGAAGGCCGTTTGCTCTTCTTATGTTGGAAAAGTTGTCTGGGGAATACACACGGTGGATACACTGAAGGAATCTCTGGTGCACAGCTTCACTGCATGTTCCTGTCCCCTTCTATTGTGCCTAAGGACCTCTCTACCAGGGAATGGGCACAGAGACATGACTTTGCCACTGGAAAATGTGTCTACCAGGTGATTTAGAAAGCAGCCGATTTGGTTGTGCCAGTAAAGGCAACGCATCTCCTAATACCTTCCCTCAAGAAAAGGAAAGGTCATGATGATCAGCTACAGTGTTGGAAGCGAAAGGGCAAAATATTATTCAGACCAATGAAGTTTTCCATTTTATATTCCCCTGAGTAATATTTTGTGTTTAAATTCTTTGTAAGGAGAGACAAAAGAAGGAGACAGAGTAAGTGCTTGAAGTCCACAGCCATCCACGTGCCATACCATCTGCACGTTTCATGAATTCCAACCTATGGAGCTGGCTAGAAACAATGCCTTGTTTAAAAAAATAATAACCATGTTACAAGAGTTTCTGTTTTCAAGTTTTAAAAAGTCTTCTCTTTTCTCCCCCTTCCCTGCCCTTGTTTTAATTAAAAGAAAATTAATTTATAAAAGACAAGGAATTTCAGATGAGTCCTGGATGCCCCAGTGTCTCAGCAGAGGGGTGTTGTGGAACCGACCACTGGCTGCTCCTGTTACAGATTAACACACTTGGGACCAGCTCTCTGTCCCAGCCCCTGTATTATCAAATGACAGCCTCAACTACACCTTAATAAGAACATATTTTCCACTCTTTTAAGTTCTTTAAGTGGCATCTTGAGAAGTACATGGCACCCTATATAGGGATTAAATTGGGTTTTTTAGACATAGCCAGTGATTAAGGTGGGCATTTATGACCTTCTTACTGGCAGGAGCCAATATCTGTGGGAAAGCAATCTGCAACCCTAGCCCTACAGACAAGGCAAGGTACGATGCTGTAAACCAAACCCCATTCTGTTGTTGTGTTACTCAAGGAGCCTCATCAAATTATTACCATTATTTATATCCTAATAAAATGGAGAGGTCTCATTCAGGTTTCAGGTTCCATGGTGCCTGATTCCCTCCACACACACAATGAAACACGGCTCTAAAGCTGACGGTAAAATGAAAACAGTTGGGAGAGTTTAACAGAATTCGTAATGAATTCTTCTCAGGCATATGCTTGTTTCAAATGCCTTCTCATAGCTGCTAGTGGAGCAGGAAAAGACATGAAAGCAACGAGGAATTTCATTGTCTTTAAGTAAACAACATGACATGAATCCAATTTTGATAATCCCAGATCACAGTGAAGGCGGTAGCACCGGTCCCATCCCAGACTGCCTCTCCCGGTCCCAAGGTGGCCCAAGACGCTTCCTTCCTCCAACAAAACAGGACGGAGGACGGATGTCCCAGCTGCAGTACCGGCCCTGCGTGCCCTGGGGTTTTACACATATGGCAACACTTTGTACAGGTGCTTGTAAACATGATACAGTTTATTACTGTTTCTCCTTCCCAGTAAAACAGAATCAGAACTCTCATTTTCAGACAAAATTCCTTTTTTTCCTAACAGTTGCAACACTTAACAAATTTAACTGTAAGCTTTTTTTCTTCTGATTTCCAGAACTGAAATGATTCCCAGAAGTGAAGACATGCACTCTTTTTTTCATACACTTATGTTTATGTGTATATGTAAGCATCTATTCTGATACCTGGTTTTGCTAAAGAATGTACTAGGAATCTCCTATGTTGAATAGCAGCATAAAAATCTTATAGGCATTGGAGTTATGTAAGTATTGATAATTAAACATCATTTTATAATGGTTACAGTCTTGATGAAAAATAAGCAGGAAGGTAAATCTTATTTAAAAAAGCAAATATCACAAACAGTTAATGCCTTTTTCAGGCATCATGGGAAAAAAAATACAGTCCTTACTTTTTTTTCCTTTTCCATGTTATTTTAAATGATTGATGGTAAATCTTTATCTACAATTAATGCTGACTTAATAGGCAGGTTACAAAAATATATTCAGAGCTTTAGCTTGATTTTGGAATATGAAGAAAATTTAAGGAAAGCATGGTGAAATATTTCAAAATATGAGGGAGTGGGTCAGATAGAGGTAGCTCCAGGGTCCACATTGCACCTTCTGGTTGATACAGCTCTCCAACAGTATCCCAAGAGGTCTTGCATCTTTGCAAGTGTGACACATCCTCCAGCCCCTTTAGAATTTAATTGAGACACCGTGAATGGAGGGTGAGATACAAGAGAGGTTACTGAGATTGTTACCAAGAAAGAAGGCTAGCAAGCCAAAGAACCACATTCAGATTATCTGCCCGTATGTCAGGTCTGACTGGCAGGGCGCAGAGCAGGAACTTAGACAGCAAAGGACCACAGAGTCCTGGTCCCCAGGCCCAGGAACCGCACTTCTCTGGGCCCTGCTGCCAGGTGGCCCAGCAGCAACAGAAAGCCATAGCATAGCAGCATGGCTTTTTCTGGCTACTGCAGAAGGAGAGGAGCTGGAGTAAATTTTAAAAATTAAATCCAAAGTATATAAAGGCCTAGGCTTCAAATGTTAAAGCTGTTCAGCATATATGTTCCTCTTATGCCGACCTGCACTGTACCTTCAGCCACAGATCCACCAAGTTCTCCTTCATGGATTTGAGACCAGGACTCCACACAGCCCGGAGACCAGGCTCCATCTCAGGCTCATTGGAAAGCAAGCAAGATAAAGAGTTCAGAGAAGGGCCACACCGCCTCCCATACTTATCAGAAACCACTCCTGGCACCACCTGAAGGGAACACTGGCACAGTGTGGAAGCCCAGTTTCCGTGAATGTCTAGATTTGGATTCACTCATTGGAAGCGTAAAAGAGAAGACCATGACCACCTCTGCTTGTGAGATCCTCTGTATCGCAATCAGCAGCTTCTGGTGGACAAGCACCACACAGGTACAGCGTTCAGGAGCCAAGGCTGGCTTCCAGAGCTGGACAACCCTGCTTCACACTGCTGCATGCTGTTTACACACCAGAGGAACAGTGCCAGTTTATTGGAGAACATCTCATACTCAGTCTTTGATAATCCTGAACCAGCTGGAGAACATTTCCGCTTTGCAGGCTCTATAGGTTGCCTTGCCTGAGGTTGATCCATGATAAAGTAAAAAAATAGTATGCGAGATGCTACTGAATAAAAACGGCCCTGACTAGGATCAAAATACAACCACACACCGGGTGACCACTACCACCAGACTCACCACATGCACCAGATGACATGGCTCCACATGCAAAATGACTCTGAATACACTAGGAATATGTTTCCTGATGCGGTGGGGGTGTGATCAGTGCAGATAACGTGGAAGCCTGCAAAGACAGCACTGCAGACTTTAACCGCCAGCATATTAATGGTAGTGACGTTAAACTGGTTGTTCAGCACTGATCTGAATAACTTCCTATTTGGAACATTCCTTCATTGAAACAGTGTATGAGAAAACTTGTGTCTATTA